TGTATCATGCGCCAGTGGCTTATGTACTTCTGCACAAACTCTCCACTTGTCATCAACGCCACCCCGGCTTTAACAGTTCTGGTCAGGTCACAGTCTAATAAACGTAGTTGTGAAGTAAAAGTTGACTTCTCGTTATTTCAATACACCATCTTCCTCCAATGCGCGTGCGTGCGTGCGTGCGTGTGCGTGCGTGCGTGCGTGTGTGTGTGGCGGGGAAGGGGGGGGGGGGGGGGGGGCCTCGTGGTTACAGTGTTCGCTCGTCACGCCGGAGACTCGGGTTAGACTCCCCTGGTGTCCCCCACCGTGATATTGCTGGAATATTGCTTAAAACAGCCAAAAACCAAACGCACTCATTCCAGTGTGTGGAGGTCAATAAGAGATATATGCCTTGTTTGTTTTTGGTCTCAGGCTGCAAAATTAACTGAGTTATGAAACCACTGCAAGTGTGTGTTTTATGCATTGAGTCCTAGGCTATCGATACGCATGTTTTTTGTGTCAAAAAAGCCATGCTAGTTTTGAGGTATCGAGTTGATTTGATGAAAATATCTGAACATAAACACGCCCGTTTCAAATACTGATATTCCTTCATTAACGGTTGCAAAGAACGTTTTGCTGTTCTTACAACGCCATGTCTACTGCGTCACATTGCTAAGACTTCCCATCTGAAATTTGTTATGGCGTCATACGTGTGGTGCGTATTTTGCAACAAATTTAAACAAGACAAAGGTTTCAAAATGACCTATAGGGATGTTTGAATAATGCTGAAAGCATATATGCCTACGTGATTGTATTGTGTCTCGTTAAAGTGGTTCACCCATAAAGCATGGATTGGGTACATGAAAGATAACAATATATGTTGATAACACCGATGTTTACTCTGATCCCTAAAGTCGCCTTTCCAACATGATGAAAATACTGGTACGACCGATGCCACATCACCAATCATTCCGCCATCTATAACCGAAGAGATTGAATTTGTTTTGTCCTTGTGGTAGAGGTGAGGTGAGGTGAAATTGGGTTTAACGTCGCGTCCAAGATTATTGCACTTATATAGCGACGTACATGTACGTGTGTGTGTTTGTGCGGCGGCTTGTTCTAGTCCGGACTGATGCCATTTTAAAGTACTAGCTCACTGAGATACCACGCCGCAGTTTAAAATGAATACCCCACTCAGACAGTATACTGACTCCGAGCCGACAAGTCCTTGTTTTAGACCCTTAATGCCGAGCTCAAGACAGGGTAACAACAAGTACCATCTTTTAACGTCTTTTGGTATGACGCGGCCGGGGATCACACCCCGGACCTTCCGCTCTCCGGGCGGACGCTCAACCACTAGACCACGGAGGCGCTGCCTTGTGGTAGAATCGAGGCAAATAAGACAAAATAAGAGTCCAGAGTACGATTCCAAATATATCATAGGCATGTGTTTATGAATCACACCATGACTATAATTCGTATGACGCCTTCAAAATCTTCATTGGAAGAGCATGCTCGGTAGCATCTCAAACGTTGTGAAATGGGGAGATCAAACGCTAGGGCTGCTGGATTATTGAAGGCAAAGTTAACTAGTCGATACTTGTTTGAAGATAAACCACATTCTTGTGGACTGATTTTGTCGGTCTGAATTGGTATCAATAGATCAAAATATAAAACAGATAAGTCTATTTCATTGGTCTCTTTTAAATCTAATTCAGGTGGGTCATTCCTCATTTTCACACTTTCAAGGAAGGTCGATTGATGTCTATTGACAAATATTTATGTCAATCTTATTGCTTCATTACTTGATTTCATTCATTATTTGTATATGAGTGAGTGAGTGAGTTGGGTTTAACGCCGCTTTTAACAGTATTCCAGTTATATCACGGCGTGTCAAGCTTAATGTGGGAGGAAAGCCCGAAATGATGCAGGTCTCATACCACTTCGGTGAAATCCACGAGCACGGGTATGGTGCTGACAAACCTAGAAACATAATCGGGGCGAACCGGCATTCGAACCCACAATCATAGGTTTCTGGCATGCCCATGGGACGCAATACTGCACAGCGAATAGCGTGCCTTAGACGACTCGGCCACCCGTGCCCCCTGTTTGTGTATGAATTGGCGACGCACCATCTGCAATGCGCGGAGCATCTGCGGGCTTTTGTCATGCTGGAAACTGACAGAAGTCAGCGTGAAGTGGCCAATTCGTTCAATGTTTCACAGTCTGTGATTAGCAGCCTCTGCAACAGATACCAACAAACACAAAATCTTCGACCCCATGCTGGACATCCCAGGTCAACGACAACAATCAAATTGCTGCACACTTTCATCTGACCACTGGAGTACGAGTTACAGGTCAGACGATTAGGAATCGTCAACAAGCAGCTCATCTCCATGCTTGACGGTCACATGTTGTGCCGCCACTTACAAATCGTCATATTGCCAACAGACGTCAATGGTGTACACAACGACGAAACTGGGGAAATCGTCACTGATCAAGTGTCATGTTTTTATATCAGCCCTAATTCACTTGGTTGTGTCTGGCGACGTCGAAATGAACGTCAAGCCAGTGTCAACCTGATTGAGCGGTGGCTTGGTTATGGTGTGGAGTGGCATCACTATGACAGATTACTTCAAACAGTGTAAGGAAGGGTCACTGAACATTGCTATCGGAACTATACTGACACACTTTGTTGTCCCGTTTGCAAGGCGTATGGGTCAATGTTTTTACTTTCAGGACGACAAAGCCAGTGCTCACTCAGCAATATTCCAGCTATATGACGGCGTTCTGTAAATAATCGAGCCCGGACTAGACAATCTAGCGATTGATATCAAGAGAATTGGGAAACGATGATATGCATCAACAAAGTCAGCAAGCCTAACCATCCGATCCTGTTACGGCAAGCATGTGTTGCTGAAGACCTATTCTACCCCGAATCTTCACGGGTTAATATAACATGTATACAGCAACCCGTGGAGGGTGTTTACATTTGGCTGACAATTACGTTCCATCACTAGATTTACATATAACATATCCTGTTACAACGACAATGTATGTACACAGTATGTATACAGTTCTGTCAGTGTTCTGACTCAGATCATTTTTTGACCTGAATGTAACTAATTTACATGTACAAGAAGTGCCCACACACCTACCAATACTACCAACATTCATGAAAACAAGAAACTAATATTGTCCAACAAGTCACAATACCATAGATTATTCTGGGACCTTTATTGCAAAGAAACACGTTGGGACGGGATGTTCGTGGTAGTTAGCGCACATGAACATTATTTGGATTTTGTGGATGAATATAAACATCTTGGTATTTATTTCCAAAGCAATAATAGATTTTCTAAATCTGTTTTATCTCTTTGTGACCAAGCAACGAATTCAATGTATTTTGTCTTACGTAGGGCACGATTAAACAATCTCTCTTTTAAACGCCAACTCCATCTATTTGACGCTATGGTAAAACCAAATACTACTGTATGGTTGTGAAATATAGGGCTATGATCGTCGTAAACTAATTGAAAAGGCTCACGTACAGTTTCTCAGAAAATTATTACCCGTAAAGAAAAGCACACCTTTAACAATTCTCTATGGAGAACTAGGTAGAACCCTCCTTCGTCTAGATGTTGACTTAAGAATGTTAAATTTCTTGTCGAAGTTTATGTCAAGATGTTGACTTAAGAATGTTAAATGTCTTGTCGAAGCTTATGTCAAGAAAATGTAGCAGACTATCGTTTGTATTGTATTCAGTCTTGTATAGAGACCCAATTGTAAATCAACGGACTTTATTAAAATTATTTTGGATGAATCAGATATTTCCAATGTCTGGATATCACAGAGTTTTATATCCTTCTCCTGGTTGAAATCATATGTCTCTAAAACTCTCTTATACATGTTGGCAATCTTGCATAGTGGATATTTCAAATTCTAGTACATGCTCTTCATACCGTATTTTCATAATCGCCAGTAAACGTCAAACATATTTCATAAACATCCCTCCCCAATTATCCTTTAAATTGCTATATTCTTTAGGACATCTTGTCACCGCCTGCAAATAGAAACCGGAAGATGGCATAAAAGTCCGTTGAATGAACGTTTATGCAAGATGTGTGATTGTTTTGACATTGGAGATGAATTTCACTAAATCTTCAAATGTAAATATTTCAATGAACTAAGGGACATTTACATCCCAAAACACTATTCGAAAAGACCAACTCCAGCAATTATTTAACTGCCATAAGCACTCTGTCCAAAAGAAACCATGTAAATTTGTTTACATTATGATGAAAATTGTAAAAATCTTCCGATTAACCTCTGTCCACCACAATGTAAAATACTGTTTGTACCTAATATGCCGATGCACACGGCCTGAGAGAAATGAAATGTTGTTCTGTTCTGTAGTCAACAAGAGGTGTCTCATTACGAACAGCAGATTAACACATGGTGAGATTGCCACGGAGACTCACAAGAGGTGATAATCATAATAAGTACTTGTTATATAATTACACAACGTATCCGTTAATATGACACGGAAAGCTTACCACCCCTACGGAAGCTGATCGATAGCTGTCCAGCCAGAGCTTACGATTGAGGGATTGGTACGCGAACCAATGAGGAGATGTCGCGAGCTTCTCTGTAGTGTTGCCCTGTGTATATACAGTTGATTAGTTAATGCATAAACCGTTTGGTGATCCTCTGTGTGTGAGCTTGGAGGAAAGAGCCTCAACATCAGGGAAATGCTTGTACAACACCAAGCAAACTTTTGCCTGATGCTGGCATATGTCATATGTATATTTGTGGTACAAACACAGTGCGAGGTTGAAGACAGTGCGACCCTCACGGACTTCACCTGCCAAGGATGGTATTGCAACAACAAAAAAGATCCGCATCCCTTCAGTCATTACCACTTCCCGAGAAACTATGATTGTTTTTGTGATGATCTCTGCTCGTTATATGATGACTGTTGCGTCGATGCTGACAATTCAACACAAAAGCACATAGACAGGGATATGTACAACTACATCAAATGTATTACATTCTGTGGTGTGTCAACGTGGTCGCATATACAGGTTGTAGTAGAATGTCCCCGGGGTTATTTGAACAAAGAAACTGCCGATCTATGCACTGCCGAGGAGACAAACGACGCATTTCGCAGTATCCCCGTTACTGGAAGGAAGACAGGTCTGATGTATAGGAACATCTACTGTGCTCAGTGCCATGGCGAGGAAGCAGATTTCTGGATGCCAAATGTGAAGTGCCCGAACAACTACAACTTCAGCCTGAATTTTTCCTTGACCTTCAATGAAATTTTATCTCACCCTAAATGTGTTCTCGTATACCAGCAACCTTTAAATGCTCCTGCGTTTCGCCCTTGTTACCAACACGTTATTGAGACATGTCCGGAAATCAGCAAGCAATGCAAGGACTGCCGGCACAAGCTTGTATATAGTAATGAGAAGATATACAAGAGCCCCGAAATTGCTGCATGCAACAATGAAAGCACGCCTGGTTGCATTGTGCCAGGGAAATTCAATGGCTGTGGGATTAAATCTAGTGTATTTGGATTTTATTCCTTTTCAATATTATTTAACATTAATACCGGAGCAGGTACAAAGGTAGAGGGTTCTCTCTTACGAGTTGTTAAAAAAAACTTTAAATTAAACATTATCTGCAATGGTGATGAGATCTTTGACCCATTTACTGGAAAATGCCGCCCAATTGTTTGTTCTTTAGATTTTGTAATGCATCTTAACCAATGTGTACCCATACTTTCTCTCAAAGGCAAGATATCAACCACTCTCAATGACACTATACTGGACGATACAGACGCGCTGTCTCACGAAAGGAACTTATCCGACTGCCCTCGGGTGACATTGAATGAAAACGAGTATACAGTGCTGAGAGACGGCCGCCTCCAAGAAAGAGTGTCACAGATTGTACACGAACAGCATGACATCGTCATGAACGGAACCGACGCTCTGGTTTGCATTAGTTCCAGGAAATCACACCCAGAGTCTCTGAAACGTTTCTTGATAACGAGAAAAGACGTCTCAAGTATTGAGGGAATAATCAGTGGCATTGGTACGATACTATCACTTGTATCCCTTCTAATGACAATAGTAGTATATGCCACATTGCGGAAGCTCAGGAATGTTCCTGGGTGTAATGTCCTTTCTCTCTCTGTAGCTCTTTTCATTGCAGAAGTGTTAATGCTCACGGCACCTGAAACAGAAGGTTGCTACATCGTGTGCAAGAGTATCAGTGTTGCAATGCATTATTTCTTTCTCGCTGCCTTCATTTGGATGAATGTAATTGCCCATGATGTTTGGTCAACATTTACAAGGGTAATGAATGCAGCAAACGTTTCGAAGAAGCCCTCAAGTCGTTATGTAACATACAGTATGTACGCTTGGTTGACTCCAATGCTACTAACCATACCTGGATTGACGCTTGACTTGACTTTCCCAGATTCTCAATACGCGCCTGGCTACGGGGATGGTATCTGTTGGTTTAGTAAGAAGTTAGGGTTGTTGGTATTCTTTGCTACTCCACTTGCTCTTATTGTCACCCTGAACATTATTTTCTTCACAATGACAGTTGCTAATATATGTTTGGTAAAGCGAACATCTGCCCGCAGGCTCGGACCTGACTACAGAAACCAATTCAGCATCTACATCAAACTCTTTCTCGTTATGGGTTTGACCTGGGTGCTTGGTTTTCTGTCTGCTTTTGTGCCTCACCCAGTCACAACCTATCTTTACATCACCCTCAACACACTGCAAGGTCTCTTCATTGGAGTATCATTTGTCTGTACCTGGAAGGTACTGCACCTTCTTCAGGAATTTTTCGGCCGTGGCAAATACGCCATATCCCGATCAACTACGACTCAGGTCCCTAATTATACTGTTACTTACATGTAGGTATTGAACATTTTACCAGACACCGTCAACATCGGACGCATATTTATGTTTTGTCGTACATTTGTAATAATGCGCGTCTGTAGGCCACTGATGATGCTTCTTTCATGCTTAAATCGTATTGTCGTTGGAAAACATGTTTTTGGTCGTTGCTCTGATCTCATCTAGATATCATAAAAAGTTCAATGGGAATAAATGTAGTGTTATATGTTGTAGTGTCATAACAATGTTGTTAATAATGTTGTCTGAAATATATACTCTCCAACAATAACGCAAAGCCGTTAATAGGTATATTTCAAAACATGAAATGGGATGAACAACTGTTCTGTAAAACATGAAATTTCACATAATTGGAGCAACAAAGTTTGTCTATATGATATTCCGGATTTCATAACACACGGAAGTCGTGCAGTTGGACATTGGTGACGTCAGTTCACTTTCTGTTATGACCACCACAAGCTCAGTTTGGTTCAAATCTGGCGATCTGGATGGCCAAGGAAGCTCATATGCGTTGTTATTGGCTATGAGCCGTGTGCGGCCTGGCGCTGGTATATTTCAAAACTTTGAAACCTTGAAACCTTGAAATGTTGTCAAAGAATAAAACAGAATGTCTATAAATTATTCTTTTTGTTGTTTTTGTTTTTCTGCCTTTATGCCGTTTTTACATGTTACTGGATGCATGATAGTTTTGTTTGCCTCACTGCCACAAATGGAAATGATACTCCATTCCGAGTACCTGTGAACCCATCCTTAATATTTGAAGAAGAATGAAAGGTTATTTTCACTAATAGTTAATACAAATTATTCTTTGTTTTGATTTAGCAAATTGTGTTGCCGAGTGTTATTGAAATCTACATTGCATAATTCATACACGACTGTTTGCAACACCTCTGTCATATGTACTATAGGCCTGTGGTCTCTTAAGCGCTTGAGACCGCCTCCGTGGTCTAGTGGTAGAGCGTCCGCCCGGAGAGCGGAAGGTCCGGGGTTCGATCCCCGACCGCGTCATACCAAAAGACGTTAAAAGATGGTACTTGTTGTTACCCTGTCTGGCGCTCGGCATTAAGGGGCTAAAACAAGGACTGGTCGGCTCGGAGTCAGTATACTGTGTCTGAGTGGGGTATTCATGTTTAAATGCGGCATGGTATCTCAGTGAGCTAGCACTATAAATCGGCATCAGTCCGGACTAGTACAAGCAGCCACACAAACACACACGTACATGCACGTCGCTATATAAGTGCAATAATCTTGGACGCGACGTTTAGCCCCATTTCACCTCACCTTAAGCGCTTGAATTAAGATTGATCGATTGATTGACACTACAATACAAACATTTTAGAGCGTCCGCCCGGAGAGCGGAAGGTCCGGGGTTCGATCCCCGACCGCGTCATACCAAAAGACGTTAAAAGATGGTACTTGTTGTTACCCTGTCTGGCGCTCGGCATTAAGGGTTCAACGCGACGCGACGTTCAACCCCATTTCACCTCACCTTAAGCGCTCGAATTTAGAATGATCGATTGATTGACACTACAATACAAACATTATAATTATCGACTTAATATCTTCAATGTATGCCTTAGTGATCAGTGGGCCTGATGACGGCAGGTTTATCAGTGTGCTGTTCCTTATTGCCCGTCATCAGCTGGGCGTATCATTAGGTACATGTTTTATTCAATAAGTGATGGGCCAGGAACATATACCAGTAATCACAAATTAAATTGACATGTCCAAAATATATCTACAACAACGGTAAATTGCATTTTGTTAATATTTGAAAAAAAATAATAGATATAATGAGGGAGAGAGATACATGTATGCATGTTTATATTTAATATGATATGTACAAATCGTCTAGTCTTCGAACAGTTGAACTGTGTGAATGTAATCAATCAGCACTTCCATTAAGCCTCTGAAGCAGTAGGCTGTTTTTCAATGTTCAATAAAAATTAAAGTCATGAGATTCAGTAAAATATATATCATGTATATTGGTATTTTCTGAATAATACTTTATAGATGTTTCCAAATGCAAAATATATTCTGATGAAAATACAAAATATCACCGGTAAATAGTATTGTGGTACAGTTCGGATGATCCGGTTAAAGGATCATACTTTAGATAGCAAGGTCCGGGGTACTGCCTGTGTGCGAATATGGAAAACAATACACATGGTTCATTTGCTTTTATAATGTAAACATAGAAGCATTTAAAAATATTTCAATGTTTCATCTGACAGGACTAGGAATGTGCTTTTATGTGTCAATGAATCTGTCACATTCTATAATGTAATATATAGTTGTATTGTTGATACCTTAACAGTCGATCCGTCTGAGATTGTTTGACGAAATAAGGATTTGGCCGCTACCTTTCTGCCTGTGCCCTGTCTACCTATGCTGTACCACCAGTGCATAAAAGTTCTGATAAATTTTAGCCTCCTACCGATCGCCCAAACGCATCACGGCAACGGCCATGGTAACCCGATGCACGTGAGTTCCGTGCAAATTGAAATGCACATGCGTTCACCAATTTCTTGCCCTAAACAAATCCACCCAGATCGGATAACATTCATTCGTTATTGAATTGCTACCACATGCCAAGATTGACAAGAAATCAGCGACACCAAGCCCTTGGACGATTGCAAGGTTGATAAACCGCCCGGCAAGTAGCCAATGCATTTCAAGTCCACGTAAAGACCATATACAGGCTCCAGCAACGGTACCAGACCACCAATCCTACAGATGACCGACCACGTAGTGGAAGACCAAGGGTCACCTACAGACGTCATGATCGTCACATTGTGCGACAGCATCTTCAAGATCACTTTGTTACTGTTGCGGAAACTGCTCGACAGACCATGGGGACACACTAGCGATACATTAGTGCGGACACCTCCACTGTCACAGGCGACACCGAGGACCCATTCAGGACCATCTACAGTGGGCAACCCAGCACCAGCATTGGCGCCACAAGCAGTGGAGAAGAGTCCTCTTCTCAGACGAGAGTCGTTACTGTATCTCAACAGCAGATGGCAGAGAGAGAGAGTCTGGCTATGCCGTGGGGAACGTTATTCGGATACTTGTGTTGTTGAGAGGCACCCGTGGGGTGGTCCGAGCATCATGTTGTGGGGTGGAATTGGTCTTGCACAGAGGGTTGACCCTGTGGTCTTCCAGAACATCGATCCAAGAAGAGGCAATGGTCTCACAGCAGCTAGGTACATTGATCAAGTCTTGAGACCACACGCCATACCTCATTTGGCACGTCACCGCAACCACGAGTTTCAGCATGATAACGCCCGTGCGCACACTGCGAGAGCAACAAGAGACTTCCCCCAGCAGAATGGCATCAGAACCATATAGTGGCCTGCCCTCAGTCCCGATTTAAATCCAATTGAGCACCTGTGAGACGAGATTCAAAGACGGCTGAATGACGTCCGACCCAGGCCGACAACTGCAGCTGAACTGCGTCAGGCGTTCCTCAGAGTGCATCGACGTTGCACGGCAGTCATCAATGCACATGTCGGACACACGAGATACTGATTGTGATGCCATTTTCTAAGGGACTAGTGTTGTGTTTCACTTTAAGAACATTTGACACTTTAATTTCAACCTTGAACAGTTTTGCCAAGTTTCATCTTTTTAATATATCTCAAAGTATGTTTACAGTGTTTGGACAAAATTTCTTTTGAGGTTCATCTTGACAAATAGTTTTGGTTTGGTTTGTTATTTATCGCCGCACTCTGCAGGATTCCAGCTATATGACGACTGTCTGTAAATATTCGAGTCTGGACTAGACAATCCAGTGATTGACATCATGAGCATCGATCCATGATTGGGATCGATGACATGCATCAAACAAGTCAGCGAGCCTGACCACCCGATCCCGTTAGTGGCCTCTTACGACAAGCTTAGTTGCCTCCGGATCTTCACGTGCCACACATCTGTCTGTTTGTCTGTCTGTCTGTCTGTCTGTCTGTCTAAGAGATACCAAAATAGTTAATTTATTTTCTTATATAATTAGGTAACACTTTCCAGAAATCCCACTACTGTCTTACTGTTTACTAACTGAACACAGGCACACAAAATACATCAATCATCGATAAATCCGCGCGTTAATCCTGTTATTGTGTGGAAAGGTTGTTCAAGTATTTTAGTTTATCATTGTAATTCCCATTCAGCTTAAACCGTTTATGAATATCATTTCTTGTTTTTTCTTCATTTCCGCATATGGATTGATTGTGTGTTAACAACAGGCAAGTAACAATGCAGGCGCGATGATGCTGAACTGCCTGCCAATACTCTTAATAGCAGTTAACATTGTCTTTGAATATAATGTGATTTACCTAATTCTATTTGTCCATCTGAGATATTTAGTTCTGCCATAACCTGTCTCGCTTCTTGGTCATCTTGAAGGTAACTATTTCAATTATGTTTTGTTTATGTTTCTTTCAGTCGCCTCTTGTATGTTTAGCATGTACGTCAGAACTTAAAATATGCTTGTTGTAAGAAGTGACTATATATCACGCATATTAATGACTGTGTGTGTGTGTGTGTGTGTGTGTGTGTGTGTGTGTGTGTGTGTGTGTGTGTGTGTGTTTCAATGCATAGAAATTATATATTTTAGTATGTGTGCTGAATAAAGTTATTTCTTAGTCTAAACATATTATACTAACTACAGTAAACGCTACAGTGTACAGTGACTCGTGACGATCGGGTTAGAATAGGTCTTCAGCAACCCATGCTTGTCGCAAGAGGCGACTGGCGGGATCGGGTGGTCAGGCTCGCTGTGTTTGTTTGATGCATGTCATCGTATCCCAATTGCGTAGATAAAGGATCATATTGTCACTGGATTGTCTGGTCCAGACTCGACTATTTACCGACCGCCGTTATATTGTTGGAATATTGCTGTGTGCGGCATGAACGACATACAAAAGTCAAATTGTAAAATCTTTTTATGTCAGCTACGGCTATACAACATTGTGATATTATTTCATATTGTAACAAAAATGGAGATTATTAGTTGAGTGCATTACCATCGTGTTTTTAAGTATCGTTAATATCATACATGAGTCTTTGAAGGGCATACACCTAAGGAAGAGCATTTCTGGGTGTCAACTTCTTATTATGAGAGACACTTTAGTAGTGATACATATAAGGAAGAGCATTTCTGGATGTCAACTTCTTATGAGAAACACTTTAGCAGTGATACACATAAGGAAGAGCATTTCTGCATGTCAACTTCTTATTATGAGAAACACTTTAGCAGTGATACACATAAGGAAGAGCATTTCTGGGTGTCAACTTCTTATTATGAGAAACACTTTAGCAGTGATACACATAAGGAAGAGCATTTCTGGATGTCAACTTCTTATGAGAAACACTTTAGCAGTGATACACATAAGGAAGAGCATTTCTGGATGTCAACTTCTTATGAGAAACACTTTAGCAGTGATACACATAAGGAAGAGCATTTCTGGATGTCAACTTCTTATGAGAAACACTTTAGCAGTGATACACATAAGGAAGAGCATTTCTGGATGTCAACTTCTTATTATGAGAAACACTTTAGCAGTGATACACATAAGGAAGAGCATTTCTGGGTGTCAACTTCTT